GTATGTATCATGCTGCTCGAATGAAAATATACTTTTGTTTTCAATTGATTAATAAACTGACGATCTAGCCTAGCTATAGGTACTCAAAAAAAAAAAATAGATTATTGTATACATTTTGATGCTTTTAATTTGAGAGAATAAATGATATATTTGATAGGTTTTTAAATAAATTTAACATTTAAAAGTATGATTTTAATAAATTTTTAATTTAAATTTATTGCCTAATAGTTATCAAAATATTAAACCCAAATTAATGTGAAGATTGATAAATAATTGTTAAATTATTAATTTAACTATATTCTATTCTAATAATTGGGGCTTGAAATTTTAAATAATTGATCAAATATTGACCTAATTTTTGAATTAAATCAGTTTTTTATTAATAAGTTTATTAATTTTTAAATAATATATATACTGTAATATTCATGAAACAATCATAAATAGATTTAAATATTTTTTAGATGAACTCTTGTATTCAAAAAATCAAATTTAGAGATATTTATATATTGAAATATTAGATTTATTAATCAAATACTATGAAATATATTATGAAACTATAGACTTTTGGTGACTATTTATGAAAGATAATAAAAATTTGATAATTATTTGAAATAAAGCAGATCAATAGGTAGATTCTGAATTGGGGATGAAATATTCAATTCTGTTATGTTTTCATGAAATATTAAGGATTCATTTATATTAGTTTGATTTATAAATTATGATAAAAGTATCAATTTATATTCAAGACAAATTCAATTATTCTTTATACATTTAATAAACTTTCTGAATAATGTTATTGAACATTGATTGATCTTTATTCAGTGATACAAATTAGTTAGTTTAATAGAAAATAAATTTTATTTCAGATCTGAAAATGACATGAATATTGAATTATAAAGTATTAAATTTTATCTAGTTAGATATGAATGTATAATCTTTATTTATAATATTTATAATTAATTTATTTTATTTAGATATAGAATCTCAAATTAACAAGACTCTCATAAATATTTAGCTATAATTTCTTTAAATCATAAATATAATATATAATTAAAAATTCAACAAATAGTTGAATTTTAATAAATGTCTAAAGAAAATTTTTAATGAAATATATAATAATATAGTATGAATTATATGACAAATAATATCAAATTATATAGTAGAAATTGATTGATGATTTATTTATGTGAATTATGTAGTAAAAAATAATTAATGATTTATTTATCTAAATTATACAGTAAAAATTAATTAATGATTTATTTAGAGTAAATTATATAATAGAAATTGATTGAGGATTTATTTATATCATTAATATGCTGAATTATTTATTTTTTTTGATAAATATTACATAAGTGACATTATGTTGAATAAATATTTTTCAACTAGTGTTAGATATAATACAAAAAGATAAAATATCAAAAATATGAGTATTTGTATTATAATAGACTTTAAAAGAAAAAATAATTCATTTAACAAGAACAATATAAAAGATTTTTATTATAAAAATATTATTCAATTGAAAAAAGTTATTAGAAGATAAATGATATAAAAAAAAATTAACTTGATTTTAATTTGTTAATAGAACTATGGGAAATTTATAATAATAATCTATAAGTATTGAGCTTCATAGTTAAAAAATAATCCAAATTATAAAGGAAGCAAAATTTTAATTCCTAATTTATATTTTTAAAAAAATTTTTTTTAATAATAGATAAGTTAATATATGAAAGTTATTTAATTAATAATTATTTTCATTAATTTACAATAAAAACAAATCATATTAGTCTGACAGTGAGTTAAAAAAAATTTTTTTTTTTTAATACCTTAATAAAAATATATTATAATTATTATTATGGATTAAAAAAAATAAAAATGCTAATAAATATTAAATAAAATATTTTTTTATATTAAATGAAAAAAAAGTTTTTTAAAAAAATCTTAAGATAAATATTTGACTTTTCAAACTGTTAAAAAACAAAATTTTGTTTGAAAAAGTTTATAAATAAAAGAAAAAAATAAAGCAATTTTTAAAAACATTCTTCAAATTTTTTTAAAGATATTATTAAAACTTTAATAGTCAATAAGTTAAAAACTTCTTGTAACTATCTTTTTTTATGTAATCGCAGAATTAACAGAATTTTTTATAATTTGTAAAAATATTAATACAATTATAAATTATTTAAAATTCATATACAGTATTTACTATAATATTATACGTATAATGAATCAATTAAAAGTATTTTATAAATATTTTATTAAAACTCTGGATCATAATACTTACTTTACACGGTTGAAAAAAAATGTTGATTGATTGATAAATTGTTCAAATCAATCCGACACATAATTTGACATTATGGATCATTATAGAGTGATCTCAAGCATTGGGACGATTAATTTACGAATTTTTTCTTGTAAAAACAAAATAATAATGACTCGGTTTTTTTTTCAAAAATATGAAATTTGATACAAGAAACGGGGAAATTGATTGACTGCAGATAAGCGAGAAAAAATTTTTTTTCAAAATAAATAACAAATAAATATAAGAGCTCAGTGAGAATTATTTATAAATGCCAAAAAGATTTTCTTCGAAATAGACTGGCCTTAAAGTCATTGATCTTTATTTTATTCTATCGGGTCCATAATTTCTTGAGCTACTGTTTCATCCCTCATTTGTTTTAAAAATGGAATTAGGTTTGTTCCACCGGTACCTTTAATTGATCGTAACATTTTAATTGAGGTGGTAGATTTCTTCGTTGCTGACTGAATTTCCTCAGTATTTGCACCAAAGTCTACATACACGTAATGGAGAATTATCTAAATAAGTATTTTAGAAGAAAAATTGCATGCGTAAGTAAATACCTTCGTTAAGCGGAAGAATAGATTTGACGTGCGAACTTTTGCGATTTTCTTGAATCACAATGTAAGCACTAACTATTTGGAGATGTTTACTTCTAAAATTCTTCATTTGAATCAGGCAATCGTTATACGCCTGAACCAAATTATTTACATCCTCAATTTTATCCAATAAAGAAACTGCGCGAATCGAACCATAGTTAACTTTTGAAGTAATGTAATTACGAATATTAGCAACCTTAGTAAGATCTTCGAGAAATCTTCGATGAGGACCGGGCATATTTTGACGTATTTTGTGTAGATAGGGTAGTTGTGATTTGACATGCTTATTTAAAGGACATTTGAGAGCATTATTGGAAAAAGAACATCCATTGATTCTGCTTGATGTGCATTCATTGCCGCTATTTTGCTCAAATTTCGTAGGATGGTGTTCGATGTTAAGTGCAATGTCTAGAGCTTGAATAAGAGCACTCTGACCAGCACTGCCACCTGCATATTTACGATAAATTGGGTTCCCAAATTCATCGTTATTATCCGCCCCCTCATAAATTAATCCTAGTGGTAACTGATCCTCATTTTCCCATCCAGCAAGAAAAGGCCGCACCTTCCAATAAAAGACATATGGGTCACATTTATCGAACATTCTTTGAAGAATTTCGATTATCTCTTTAATTATAGAACCAATTTCTTTGAGGGCTCTTAGGAGTTGATTGTTATCTCCAACGTTAACCGCATTAATTGCCGTAATTATAGAAGAAAGGGCCCTCCCACCACATCCCTCTATGGCGGTTGTAACAAGATAAAACCATGATTCATCCAAGGAATTTGTGAATGTGAACAACGTGGAGAGATTGCTATAATGTGAGTTATGTGAAAATTGTGAAAATCGTGAAAACATGGATATAATATGATTGCATGATCAAAAAAGTTTAAACCAAATACTTTAGACTAAATGGTTCGTCTTTGAAAATCAATCGCCAATTCCACAATACAACTGCTGCATGGTTCTGAATAGGTGCAACACCGAGATGATCCGAGATTTTGACCCAAGGTATCGCGACACAAGCTGGAAGTCTCTACAAGATAATTTGGAAATTCAAATGTATTCAATAACAAATCGACATATTAAATCCATGTAAAAGAAAATAATAATAATTATATACGTCAGATATTTTCTCGGAACTCCCCCACACGTATCCGTGGGCTAAAAAGGACAATACTAAGAACGCTCGACGATACTCCGCTGGTGTGGCAAGACAGCTGGTATCCAAAACTGGCATCTATATTAGAAAGGATTATTTGTCCTCAGTACATATAATATATTATTTGAACGATCTCTAACAAAATCATACTTTGTCCACTGAACTTCTGAATCTTCCTGTTAATATTAAATCATGAAAATTGTCTATTAGTTGTTCCCATGGCTCATAAAAAGTACCAGGTAAACGTTCTAGAGGAGGTGTCGAAGGGAGAAATCCGGTCACAGGGTCTAGGTCGTAATCTTCCATTCGAAATTCATTGGCAGTATTTTCATTAATAAGCGGTAATATGTTACTTGGAGGCATGTTAAATGTGAAATAAAAGGTATGTCCTTTTTTTAAAAAACTAAAATTTAATATTGGGAAAGAAAATTTTGATTTTTGGTTACAAAAAGATTTGATACGATTTTTTTATAAGGAGGGCTTTGAAATTCATCCATAATCTGACACTGATTTCGAAAAAATTGATTCAACAGACGGAAGTGCTTATGAATTTGCTGATTTGGTAATACAATGATAATCGAGTTTACATATAATGAGTCAATCAACACGATTCGTTGATAAGTTGCACAGCTGCACATAATTTTATGTGCACGGAAAAACACTGACCGACATTTTTGTCTCGATCGGAAATTAAAGTTTGACTGTCTGGCTATCAAATAGACATTTCTGGCGTTATGACAAAAGCCAACCCCTTAAGTTTGGTGAGGGTTGGATCAACCTTAACAACTATATATAGACAAATGGCTAATAGTGACTCATGATTAATTTCACACGGTGAACTGTTTCATAAAGAACGAAACCCGAGTTAGAGAGCGTAATTAGTTGCATAATGCAACATATAATAATCATTACAAATGCTTGTAATATTTCAGAATGCGAATCGTGATCCTTTGAAACTTCTATTATATTAAAAAAAAAACCCCCATACAACACATTTGCGTATCGAAAGATATTGGTTATCACTTGGGGGGCTTATTCTTCCGATTTCTGAGATTAGAATATGTCGTGGGTAGAAATGATCTTATTAGTCAAGGTGTGTAATCCTTTTGGAATTTGTTATACTTCGAAAAACAATATTATTGCTGTATTATTGTCAGCCCTTGATAATGCTCTTATATCAGATATACTACTGCAGATCTTTAAATTCATCCTTTTTTAAATATTCTTTAAAAGATCCTAGTAAAGCAATAATATTCAAATGCGATATCTCCTATCTTTTCTTTCTGAACTGATATAAAAAATTCCAATTCAATTTCGGTTACAAATATACAATATATTAACTGATTATTGTATGATATTATAAAATTAAAAGGTAATAAATAGAACTATTAAATATATTAATCAAATTTAAAAATAATTAATACCAAACTTATTTTAAACAAATACTAAAATTTAAAATTCTTAAAACAAATTATTGAATGAAACTTATTGATAAAGAAATAAAAATTTTTTATTATAATCTTTTTTTATATAAATAATTTATAATCAAATCAAATTAAAAGTTTATTAATTAAAAAAAATACAAAATATATATTTATTTAAATAATATAATATATATTGCAGTTAAACTATACATATAAATATAATTAACTTTATAGGTATAAATTTCTAAGTTTGATCTTTATTATTTTATAATAGTTTTTAATAAATATATTCTTCTAAATTATATATCATTATCAATAAATTATTATTATTAATTATTTTATTAAGTTATTAAAATATAAAAAATTATATAAAAGATGAATTGAAAAAAAAATTTTTTAAAAAATGTATAAATATATTATAAGAAAATAAAAAATTTTTTAATAAGATTTATTAATTGAAATATCTTTTTTTTTCTTGATTATATAAAAAACTTATTTACTTTTAACTTGATTTTTTTTTTAATATTAATTAAAAAGATTTATTATTTATTAGAAATTTTTACTTTCAGAAATATATTTTGTTTTAATTTGCTTTAAATAATAATTTTTTATCTATTTATAAAAACTATTTAATTTATTATAAATCTTAAATTTTTATATAATTCAATAAAAATTTAATTATATTGTGATCAAATTTATATTTGACTGGTATGTCCAAGTGAAATTGCTTTTAAAAGGACAATTCCCAAAGAAAGAATTAAAGAAATAGTTTATAATAATTAAAGAAATATCCAAGAAGAAATTCAACAAAAATCCTTTAAACAGTGTCACACAGTGTTTCACAAGAAATATGGTTCACTCAAAACCTAAGTTTATTAATAAATCAAGAAAACTAGGACAATTCCTTTAGTCCTAAAATCAATAGAAGATATCTAATCTCTTAAAAGAAAAGTGAAGTTATTCCTAAACTTCCAAAATCAAGTGAAGCTATCTACAAACCTCCAAAGTCAAGTGAAGTTATCATCAAATTTATTATACTTTTGAGTGAATTATGTCTGTTTATATACTTGTAAAAATGGATCACTTGGGACACTTGGGCCTCCTAGACCTCCTGAATCTCCTAGGCCTCCTGGGCTGCCTGATTTATGATAAATTATGTCACGTGCTACATTTGATAAAGTGATCTACGCTAATCAAGTATCAATAAGAATATCAAATAATATCAAATAAATAGATAAAAATAGAAATAGAATGAAGATCATGATTAAAAATAACTATTCAATAGTAGTAGATGCTATTTTTATCACACTTTCCCCTCCTTAAAAGGTGAAGTCCTCTGAGTCAAGTTCCTTATATAGGGAATAAAATTATTTTGATAAATTTCATTAGTCATTCTAAATAGATAGTTTATGAACAAGAACTTTGTTTGATAAATTTGGTTTGGATTGCCTTGGAAGATTTCATAGCTGTGCCTAGCTGTGCAATAATAGTGATGAGAATTTTGAAGTGAATTTTTCTGAAGGTACTGTTGTCACAATTGTTTGGAATCCTGGACGGTATTCAATAGTTCTCCCAAATAGTATAAATTGATCAGAATGGCTATATGATCAGATTGTTGTATGTGTTGCTTGATTTTTAAAAGAATATTTTTAATACTATCCTTTACTGGAGCGATGGGTTGTATGGGGGTTTATACTGGTTTGAAGTTTCATCCAAAATAGATAACATATCCATTTTGAGTAAGTCCAGTTTCCTTGCAGCTGATTGTTGGTGACTGAGTTTGGAAATTTTTGATGAGAATTTTCCGATTTAGACATTCCTTAAATATATTTTAGGATTGTGCCATTGATGATCAATCCATCTCAATTTGATTTGATATGATGACTTGTCCAACTGATCATCAGTTCCTATTCAACATTAAATAGATGGGCTTGATGAACGGTTCATTACTAATTCCTATATTTCATATCTCAATTTTCTTGAAAATGCTTTGTGTCAACAAACTTGAGCGTACTATTGAACATCTTAATCCAATGGTCAGTTGCATCATGTTAATGCAAGAGAAAATGAAATTCCTTGGTCGGGCTTTACTTCACTGTTATTGTTCTGAATATGAAGAGGAATTGGTCTCCCTTTGAACTGAACTTTTCATACTTCGTGAGCAATTTAGAGCTCAGAGAGATAACTTGCGATGGTTTCATTTTCGTGGTCAAGAAGCTATGGTCCAATATCGGTAATGGATAACTTCACTCCTCCAAGTGAACTCAAGATGGTTAGCTTTGGAGCTTCCTTAACGGTTGGCAGTACGCTCAGAAATTCAAGCACTTCATCTCCATATAGAGGAACTGCGGGTTCAACTAGTTCAAGCCAATGTTCTTCCAAATTTACCTTCTTCCAGAGCCATCAATGAGTAGCAGATGAGTTTAATCAGTCTTTCTTCCTGGAATATTTCCCCAGCTTGGCAATTCTTGCATCCGGGTCAAAGACCAACTTATGATCCTAATCCTCCTCAAGTTTAAAATGATGTACCTTCCCAGAAAGAGAAATCAAATAATTAATTTTGCTATTTGTTTTTCAATAAAAATTTCTTTTATCACTTAATGCTGAAATATTTTGTTGTTACTGTGACACTTTGTGAGCAGGTGACTTGTGGAATAAGATGACACTCTGAGGGTCTTTATTCCATGTTTGTATTTTTCACTCCTAATAGGTATTATGTGTCCCAACACTCGCACATAATTGTCATGACCATCCAACTACAGTGTGTTAAAAAAGTCTTTGAATACAGATTTTTATTTATAATTTTGTAACCAATACATCATATTACATGATTTATAGTTTAAATGAAAGCTTAAAATGATATGAACAAAATAAAAAAAATTAATATAAAATTTATTTATCCCAATTTTTAATTAC